AAACCACAAAAATTGTGTGTGGTCTATACATGGGTTGTGTATATATAAGTATACTCGACAACCAGTGTTTATTTGTCAACAGTACTGATTTTTGAACCCAAAATGGTGGCCAGGCGCAATAGCAATTTGCGGAGATTATAACAAACAGACAATACTTACACATGCTTCTATTTGACCCAAGGAGAATCCTCCTTGATTTGAACCTATAATAATATTTTAGTTCTACCAACTCGCCGTTCTACGCACGGGTAGGGTTACAAGATTAAACAATCAAGATTCCGGAGAAAAGGCCCTATTTCCATTGTAAAATCTCGAGAATTTGTTACAGTTTGAGGTTTTTCTCTCAAACGTACTTAACAATCTAAAAAATAAAATTATTATTGTTTTTATACTCTGCGGATCTCAGATTGCTGCATTATTGCTTATTTTAAAAGGTGTCTTCACACACTAAATATGATAAAATCATTAAGTACCTACCTACTTTGATAAATAAGTGTTGATTTTAATTGTGTAATACTACCAAAGCTCGGAAGATTATTTTTAGTTTGTGTAACTATTTATTAAAGATATCTTTAAAATACATTATATTTAATTAACAATTTGTCTAAATAATAATAGAAAAAAAAAATTATTATCTAGACTATGTCTGAAAATAATAACTATACTAAATAAAAAATGTCTCCCAGATCATTGCCTACAGTAACCTAAACTACTATAGTCAGATATTAACAATTCTAAAAATTATAAGATTTCCTGAGATTTACAAACTCTGATCGCAATCCTGAGAAATCAGGAGAAATCCTTATATTTTTTACCTCAGGACTATCTCAGGACAAATCCTGATATTGGTTACCCTTTACGCTAGCGGTCGAAAACGTAGAAGCGGTGGGATGAAAATTAGCTTATAAGTTAATTCAAGCTTAGAAATATCCACATACCAAATTTTATCAAACTTCAAACATAAAAATATCCTTACAAAATTTCGCTTTTGTAATATTGGTAGTACCTAAAGCAATAACTTTTATATTTTGGTAATAAGCTTGCACTTGGCACAAATTTTTCAGACATGTATCAGAGGCTCTACATATTTCAGATAATTTACACAAATACTTGATGAAAATAACAAGTTCCTTGTTAATAATTTCTACCATTGAAAACTGAAAAATAATATTTAACACGTTAAAACAGGCAGAATTAATTATTTGTTCACCGAAAGCCAATTATTCCTAAAAAACAAAAAAATATGCATAGTATTCACAAACTGAAATCTTATTACGAACATACTATGAAGAACATATATAGGTACTTTCTTCCCAATCCATCTGTGTCGATTGAATTAAACAATCCTTTTAGGTGTATTGTATTCATATTATTAGGAATTATGTAAACACATAACGATAAATTACTTTTAGAATTGTACCTATTTCAAGCCAAACAAACATCTACGTGGCAAGATTTTCTTAAATATAAACAAACTGAAGATATTTGTGATGATAATTCACTCGTTTACGAATTGCTACTGAAGGGATTTGAAAGATAATTGTGTTCTGTTTTTGCTTGTGTCAAGAACTCTACAATTTATGAAGCTGCTTGTACTCTATACAAAGCATCACTCACATTACATGTATTATAAACTTACACATACTTAACTAAATATCGAATATCGAGGGTATTGTTTCTTTGAAGATTGAAAAATACTTAATTTACTACTTATTACAAGCTTCTGCTGTAATATTGATTAAACTCAAACCAAAGATAAAAACGTATGAATGAAAATATATTCTTCTTTATCATTCAAATTAGGTCATATTAGAAATGAATCGCTTGCGTGAGGAGCTTTCAGGTAAGCGTTGGACTACAGCAGCGATGATGTGTTTCAATTGTCGCTATAACAGCAGATACTAAAAAACAGAATAAAATAAATATTTAAGAGGGCTCCCATACAAAAAAAATACCTGATTTTTTACTCGTTTTCTGCACGGAACCCTTCGTGCACGAGTCCGACTCGCACTTGGGTTTTGTTTTTAAAATAACTGACTAACATCGAAAATAAATTAGAAAAAATGTTTCTATTTACACGTCGATATTTATAATGTTCCTACTGTAAGAGTGGTCACAGCCGGACTTTATTTTGTTACAAAAATATAAATATGAAATAACACAAACGCCTTTTTGTATTGTTTTTTAAATCGTGGAAAAAAAAGTACACTTTTTGAAAACTTGATTCTGTAAATCTTACTTATAAATAACGCTGCAGAGTCTTTACACAAAAAGGTCTGTATGTGAGCTTGGGCCAAAACAATTTCATCTTAAATAGCTGGCTTTAATTCTACATTGTGAGACTTAGAAAATGAGAATCGGTCCTATTTTACGACCCATTACGCGGAGAAATCTCTGAGAGATGCCATTAAGAGTAATTGTCATCTGCCTAATGCAGTTCAACAATATTTCAAAAGAGGTCTCACTTTATTACAAAATTGTTGGAATCACTTAGGAATTACTCCATTCACTGAGAAATAGCTAGATGAATAAAATAACACAGATTTTACAAATAGATAAGTGTATGCTTAAAACTGGCTAGTAGTCGTAATTTAATATTAATTTATTAATATCTTTTGCACAATTGCATGTGTGTGTGTTCAATTAATGATTTCTATTTCTAATTACGCATGACACAAATATTTCTTTATGCTCTTCAAATATTAAAAATTAGAAACACTGCTTATTTTATACGGAAAGTTACCACAATCCTAGTGTATCTCATGTTTATAGGTCAATAACTAGTGTATCTGATGTTTATAGGTATTACGTGGTATAGCAAAGTTTTATGTTTTATTGAGAAGGAAAAATAAAAGGTTATAGGTTATAGAAATAAAAGTTACGGTTTATAATAGTCGAGAAGTCTCTTAAAAAACCTTATTAGTATTTGTATAAGTATGCGAAAGGAAACCATTACAAAATCTAACAACGTTACTTTACACTCTATGTATGATAGAAACGTGCCATTAGGCCTGATATTGCATTCCTCTATATGGAGGTTTTTAATTTGACTTAATGTTATAAGTGTTCTGTGAATATTGTTCCTGCTTTCTATATTCGCACGTTGAGAACGATAGTGACACAATGTAAAAAATGCGATTTTGAGTAATGAGCGTTTAAAGTTCAAGAAATTGTAAGCAGCCCCTCTAAACAACGTATCGTCACTACGCCACCTAGCAGTTTCTATGCAAGCTACGTTTACAGGGATCTTTGCATTTTAAAGTTTATACTTAACAAAGAAAAATGTTGTCAAAAGTAAAAATACGTCGTTTTTGGTTAGTGACATTGTCATTCTCAATGTGCAATATGCTGGGTGAATTAAATAAACTGTTATAAACTAAAACTATATACTAAAGTGTTATAAACTTCTGGAATTGCTGCAAAATGTATGGACAAATATACAGACGAGCACGTTCGAAACGATGTCCCGGAATTCCAAAAAATGTAGACGCCACAGGCACGAGTCGATATATCATAAAAGATTTTAATATACACCATGAGCGCACATATAAATCTTGATAATTAAAAAAGTTACCTCGGATTTACGTATATATTTTTATTTCTTAAATATACTATTACACAAGCTAGATATCAATTACTATATCAATCTCGACTCTGATAATTTATAGAGACAAAAACAAACATAAATAATCATCAAATGATAATAGGTTTGTCACTGTAAAATAAAGGACGGTTAGCTGATCCCTTATTAAAATAAAGTATTAATTATTACTAATGAACCTCTGTGTAATTGCGGTTTGACCTTTACCTCAGTGCGTGTCCTGCTGAAAGGAGTTGTTAGAGCACAGATAGAAGCGTATGTTTAAATACTTAATGGTTTGGTAAATTTTTACTAATGTAATAATGATGACGTCAATGGTCAGGATACAGATAGTCGTTATTGACAGTTAATTTAAAAAAATAAATCAGAAACAGATGAAACATAAGTATCGTTACTACCATTGAATAATAATGCTTAAAACTAAATAATACTCACCCAATCCTTGATAAGGTAAGGTCCAATTTCCAGATTCCCAGTGTATACCTTCTTAAAAAATGGAACGGCAAAAATTACTGTCGCAAATTTTCCGTTATTTGTTTGTTGTCATTTAAATTCATTTTTATTTTTGATAAAAGAAAACAGGTTTCCTTTATGTTTATATACTTACATAATACACAATATTGGTTCTTTTATATTTTTTATTAATCCCTTATATCAATTTAATCACGTCGAAAAAATAATAAGCGTATTGTTACGTTGTATTAATACAAAGTTAGCTCGTACTGTATCGAGGGCGCGTAAATAAATAATGAAATCTGTCGAAAAATCATCACTGAAAAGTTGGTCACGTTTAATATATTCTGGTTGCCTTTTGTTTTTAACGTAGATTGACACGGTTGATAATGATATATCATTGTGTTATAGTATCGAAGAGTGCTTACCATGGGTCATGATAACGCGTCGCAATGTGCCCAAACCGCGAGTGCGGCTCACGCGAGCAGACTGTTGCTTGCTCGGGCCGGGCCAGGCTAAAGCGCTATGCGCAAGCGCGAGCCCCTTCCCCTTCAGAGTAAGTTGCCTACGCCAGCCGCCAACAGCCACGCGCAATGCCTCCACTCGCATCCTCTCCTTTGTCTCCAACTTAATTGTCACGCTGACTACTAATCAACTGTTAGACACAACCTAGCCGGATCATGTTTCGCATAGAAATTAGACCGTTACAGAATAAATTACAACTAAAACGTTAAATTAAATTATAATGATAAAATTTGATTGTGATAGGAATAATAAAAAAAAACGCAAAAACTTGATGAATCTCTAGAAGCTTAAAAAAGGTTCAAATGATAAGACTCATTAATATTACACTCGTTATTTATTAAGAAAAAGAACCTGTTGATTTCCAATCAACAAAGAGAGATAAGAACAAGTCATTTGAAATAGGTATTCAAAATCAAATAAACTAGTTTCTCATTTCCATAACAATTTTTTTTATTTTTGACAAAGTGAAATTCTCGCACAAATCCATGTCTCTTGGGTCATTCCAGCCACCGTAGCCTTCGCTGTAATCATTGACTAAAGAATCATCTTCATTCTGAATGTAAACATATACTTCCAATTGCGTAGGGAACAGAGATTCTTTGAGCTTTCTCTGTAGTTGTAGTATATGATAAACGCTTTCTATTACATCACAGTGTTTTAAAATTCTATTGAATTCACACGAATCTGTCTTGTAAGCCCTTGGAAACATACTTGACATTATCTTGAACTGCGACCCCTCTTTTTGTTTTAATGATACGTAGAGCAATGATCGAGCCCAAGAATAATCATCGACAGTACAAAATATATCGTAATTGGAAATTATTTTATTCCAAACATTCATATCGAATGCTAAAACACTTGGCTCGTAGTTTGGATCCCAGGTAATAAGTTCTAAGCCATTAACATTCGCTAAATTAGAAAAAGTCGCTCTCTCGAGTGTTAAGAATTCGCAGTTACCCAGATTATGTGATATTTTATTCATGTATAAAAGCATGTACAAAAAATCTTTCAAAATATATATATTATCATTTAAAAATACAACAACTCCTTCATATTCCCTTATAGGATTTAATACGTTTTCGAATATCATATTTGCAGTCCACCACCAGTGATGTTTTTGCTGTGCTTGTTTTGGGTTTCTGAAATGACCTCGAATATCAGGTGAAGATGAACCTGTGCAATTCATCGCCAGTGCAATCTTAGTATTCATATTATAGGGACAATCTTGGGAACTGTAACCAGGGAATTCATTTGGATACAATTGTATTGAGTAAGGGTAGTATATTTGTAATACACGACAATAATCTATACTTTTAATCAACTTACTTACATCTTCGTTGTATGAGATATGCGAAAAAACTAGTAACACCTGCTCGATACCTTCAATTTGTGATAAAGACACTAATAGGAACTTTAAATAAATTGATAATCCGTGGACTGGTATAACAAATACAATCGTATCCTTTGTAATTGGTCCGAAAATTTCACTATTCATAACATTTCGTTTTTGATTATGATGCCTAATTACTGCACTTAGTTGCGAAATGTTTTTATGCCAGCTCTTCTGTGCTATTTCAAAGAATAGAAATTTCGCAGAATGTTTTGGAATATGTGCTGCAACCTCCTTGTAATGTATCTGTTTACTTTTGAAAACAAAGAGCAGTGAAAATATAATAAGGACCACTAGGGTGCTTCGCAGTTTTTTAAGGAATCGTTCAATCTTTTTTTCCATATTAATAAAAAGTCTTCTCTCATTTATCTACTAAATATACAAAAGCTAATATGTCCCAATATTGTTCCAACATATATAAAAGTATGTAATAAACTAGCTTTAATATAATTTAAACGAAAAAACATTTCACTCTCTCATATTAAAATGACAGAAAATTGACAGAATTAATCTCGCTATGATAGAAATTGTAAATAAAAAAAGGTTACGCACAACCACAGAACATAGAGGTGCGCACAACCTATGGTTGTACTAATAAAACCATACTAATATTATAAAGATGAAAGATTTGATTGTTTGTTTGCAATGAAAAGGCTCCGAAACTTCTAGACCGAGTTTAAAAATTCTTTAACATAAATAATTAATTTATTCTTAATTATTCTTATCATATTTTTCTGATTTATTCTTAATTTTTTTTTTTATTATTTTAACCTCTTGACCGCTCTCGTGCTACTCATAGAAAGTTAGTTAAAAAGAAATATATTCAGCAACTTTTCATCACTTTAACGGCGAAAATAACACGTTGTAATATATATTATTTGTTACCCAAAAAAAAACAAATCATTCCGTGAGCTCCGGTCACCTGTTACAGTTAAATGGCGTCGAGGAGTGAAGAGATGCGCTTACGCCTAAAGGCCGATAAGTAAATCTAGTTTAATTATAATAATTATCGCTTATATCTGTCTAAAGTAGATGCTAATGACTCGGCAGACTGATGATGTTTATTCGTCTTCCCACTATATGTGATTTTTAGATGTCCTTAGCATAGTATGATGTCAGTTTACTAAGTTTTGTTTGAATATACTACCAATGTTCTAGGTAAAGTACATAGAATGGAATTCAATTTTTTCTTATTTTTTTAGGATTAAATTTTTTTTTAGGATAATCAGAAGAAAATATCACTGAAGACTTGAATCACTCTGATTTTGAGAGTGGTTCTGAAGTATCCGACGATGATTCTTCTTTTTTTCTACAAGAAGACTATCACGAAAATTATTTAGAAAGATGTTCACAGAGTTCGTCCGTTGAAGACCAATTCTACACTTGTATCTCTATATAAGTATAATCAGTAGGTTTAGAAAGGCCTTATCAAATTCAGACACGTGGAAGACGAGGTGGTAGGCGCGGAACCTCACTTCGCATTGCCCATAGACATAACAGTTGGTTTGCAGAAAACTTTGTGCCAAGCTATGGAAATCCCGCCGAGAGTAACTATGAAAAATTAAGTTCATACATTTGGTTACCTTCTGTAATCTAATAATATAATAATAATTCTATAGGCAATTCTTGGTTACAGTTCCGGAAAGAAAAGTTGTCTATTAAGAGAAAACTGTCGGAAATATTACAATTGAGAGATTGTAAGCTAAATTTAGGATGCAAGTGGATAGAAAGAGGATAATGATGAAAACAATGAAGAAGAGAAAGAACGAACGAACCACTGCCACAGCATAAAAACAAAAGGTTACTTAAATAACAACAAAGAAGAAGACAGCAAAAAGCATCCCACCTACCCGATTCTGGATCTAAGCTCGTTTGCCGTAAACCAAGTTGTGAATAAAAACTGCATTGTTTTGCTGGAAATGCAATATTTTTCTTTGTTTTATAAAAAAGAAGTGTTTCGTGGATTTTCATGAGCGTAACATAAATTAAAAGACTCAGTCAGAAAAAATGTTAACATATATTTTTTATATAAGTTTATTTTAATTATAAGTACAAAATGGAGGTATAACTATAACGTTGATTCATAATAACATCATACATAGTTAATTTTATACTAATGAAAGTAGTTGCCAAGAATTAAGCCAAAATATTTTTGTTACCGTCCATAACACTATTTTTTTAATAAGAATTTAAAATACTAAATTTGTTATCATAACTTCAAAATTGTTTCAGTATTTCAGTACTTATGTATATAAGGTTTATTGATACCTAAAAGGCAATGTCCGTTGCATAGTACATCACCATACTCTTCATTTGTCCTATAAAAGTGACATAGTGGTAAACTAGATTTTCCGACCTAAGATATTTTAAATATGTTTCCACTATATAAAGATCTGTAATAGTAATATAACTAATTTCATAAAAAAAAAAGTACCTCATATAGTGAGGAGGCTAAAATTGCACTTTATCCCTGACAATCTGAAATGGTATTCGAATCCATGACCTTACGCAATCCGGGCGACGGCTCTCATTATTCTTTTTATTGCAGAATATGATAATCAGAATTGCAGAATGAGAACTTATTGTTAACTAGCTGCGCCCGCAACTTCGTCTGCGTGGGAAGTATTTTGATAGAATTCTTTTATTCCTATGGATGGAGTCGAATCAAATAAGATCAATGGGCCATAACCCACTATGCGGGCTTAATGCGGATCGGTGGCTGTTAACGTTGCTGATGCAGCCAGGACTAACGGCATAACGTACATTGTGCCAGTGTTGTGCACAGTGCTCAGGATAATAATGTTTTGGTCACCCATCCTGTCCTTACGAATGTAATTTTCTATCTTTTTTCTTGTTCTCGCGCTCTGGTTGTCGTTTGTGTCTGAGAATTTTATTCATACCTTGAAACTGTCCTTCTTTTGTTTTTGATCTTTTTAAATGATTATTATTTGTCTAGTTGTATACACAATCGGCTATTTATTGTTCTTTTTTCCATGTAATGCTATGTTGCCTGGAAAAATCGCTTGCTAGCGATGAGTTTGTCGTTTGTACTAAGTTACGTAAAATAAGTATTCATGTATGTCCTTGTTGTGTAGTATTTTACTTATTTATTTCACTGCAATTTAAATCGAATGCGCTAACCCACTAACGCCATCGGACCTCTTATACCTAAGATGTACTAATAATAACAAACATTTGCCCAAAAACTACTGGACAGATAGTTTCAGAGCGATTCTATCTACGGGAAGTTACATCACGGATGTCATAGGCTATAATTTTGCGGCAAAATCGCGGGAAGACAGCTAGTTCATTATACCTTGTGAAAACTTATCTGCGGTGCGCCTGTGGAGTATGAATGCAACACGGGTTGGCGCTAATCGAAACTACTTTCTCGATCTCTATTGTGCAAACTGCGAGCTCTTTCAGAGACCAAGCTCATTTCTCTATGAAAGGAAATTTCATACTCATACCATACTGCATGTATATTACGATCAGCAGTTAGACGCGCTATGCGATCTTCAGAAGTTTTCTGATATCAAACGCTTGTTGTATGAGTTCTTCTAGAGCTCAAGAGATTGTCCCTGACAGTAAATGCTTCAGATTCAACTTTATAGTGCATGAGCCTGGCGATAGGCAGTTAAATACGTTTCACGTTTTTCAGGTATCTGCCGAGACCGAGCGCTTTCCGTCCGATCTCTTTCTTTGTCAATAAATTCAGTCGGTACATGTCTGAAGGAAGATACGTGGAGTTTTATTTATTGGTATAAAAAAATATATACAAATTTTAATTTCGACTTTCCACACTCGAAGGAAATCGTCTACTAACACATACTTCCGAGAGGTGCTTAACTGAGCTTCCGTCTGATTTGCACGGCCCTCATCATCATCATCAGCTCTTTTACGTCACCAACTGCAGGAGCCTTATGGATTAAGGAGGATGGGCCACGACCCTCCATGTTGGCCCAATGCGAATTGGAGGATATTAACGACTGCAAATTCAACCGGGACCAATCACTTTACGTGCCTTCCAAAGCTTGGAGTTGCTTGAGATAATATTTTTTGGTCACCCATCCTGTTAAAGACCTTTGCGAAAGTTGCTTAACAACTACAATCGTGAGCCTCGGCGTTTATTCACTACGCCACCGAGCTATTCTGAACCGATCCTCAGACTCGTGTAATATTATATGTGTTATGACCAATGAATAAACCATTGTTTCCAGCGAAGACTGAAAATACCAACTTTGAAGTACGTATCTACAGCAATTTGTATGTTAAAAAAAGAGTATTAACATAAAAAAATAGTAATAAGAGAAAAAAAATATATAACTCGAGTTGTCTTTATGTTCTTAACTTCAGTTGACGTGAATCTAACTATTTTAGCGTCGTGGAAAAACTTCTGACATTGTCTCTGTTACCTGGCAAGCAACAGGGGTGAGTAGGATTCTCCACCATGAATCCGACAGTGAGCTGCCCAGTAGGTCCCCAGAGGCCTACCCACCAAAACCCGTACGCTACACCCTCTCATGGGAGACGCAACCCGGCAAGCTATGGCCGCGCCACCAGGACACTCAAGTATTGGACCATTGGTCCCATTGCAGATGAAATTGGAGAGGCTTGGGTAAATCGAGTGCCTCTCCCAGACAGACGAAATGCCCCCGGGGGCGGCTGCCAACCACCTCCGCTGGCCCCGACGACGACGTGAACTTAATCTGATAAAAATATGCGTTCACTGTAAACTACTCGAGGCTTAATTGCATATCGAAAGGCTCTTTCCGCTTGTTCTCCTACTCGCGTGATCGTATACCACACGTCTATTATAA